AGGTGAGCAGAGAGCATACACTCGAGCGTGGCATATGCATCAGCTCTTGACCACCACGTCGTTTGCTGGCATGCGTCGGCATACGTCACCCGAACGCCTACAGTACGCATTGAAACCTGCGATGCCGGCGGGAATGGAAGCCACGACGAAGACGAGGAGGAAATACCACCCGAAGAGCATGCGGGGCGGCACGTCAGGGTTCTTGGTCATGAAGTAGAGGAAGCCGGCATATGGTATTATGCTCCAGGCAAACAAGTTTTGCGCAAGCGTCTGTGTGTGTGCGAGGTGGAGGAGTTGAAACTGTATGCATCCAGGCGCTGTGCTTGGTGATGCTACACTCCTTCTGGGAGTATGGCTTCCCTTGCACATCCCATAATACCTCCATGTAGCGTACCTCGGCATTCACGCCCCATGCGAGGTCAAGCATGGTGGCATGACGGGGCGGGCATTTTGGGAGTCGCGCAGGGGCCCTTGACCTCGTGCATTGGAGATGTGCCCTGCCATGGACCTGCTTGCCCCGGTAGCCGGCTGCAGGTCCAAGCAGGCCGCTGCATCTACTCAGGGAAGCACTGGCTGTGAGCAAGAACATTTGTAGACAGATCCTGAGCAATCAACATCAACTTCTTGTGCGTGCTCTTCTCCCGATCAAGCGTTGCATGAGTCCATGGAGACCGGATTCCCGTTGTTTCCGTACTTTCCACAGGCACAGCACAGCCAATGCTGTTGAAGGTATGACACACCCTGAGACCAGTGGCAGTCCGTCAAGTGCTGGATCGTGGCAATATCTCCCTTGAGAAGCACTTCGGTCCTGGGAAGAGCCGTACAGCCAGGGTTTTAAGTACTCGTAGGAGGAGGCACCATGTTGCGCTTCGCTGCAGCCCAGCTGGCCCGCCGAGGACAGAACCTGCCCGCAGTGACCACAACGGTAGGAACGAGGATGCGATGCCCTGTTTGCGAATCATCATTGAGTCGCGCCCCCGCGCAGGCATTCATGGCAGCACCCAGCCCCACCCCGCAGGGCCTGCGCTGCTCCTCCGAGGCCTCGGCCGCGGAGCTCAGCATCCCTCCCCAGTTCAGCATCCCCGGACGTTACGCCTCCGCCCTGTACATGGCTGCTGTTAAGGCGGACAAGCTGGATGCGGTGACCAATGAGCTGTCTCAAATGGCCGGGCTCCTCAAGCAGAGCGACGACTTCCGGGAGTTTGTCAGCGACCCCACCGTCGGCCAGAAGGTCAAGGTGGAGGGCATGAGCAGCGTCATGGATGGTCTGGGCGCCAGCAGCACCACCAAGAACTTTTTCGGTGTGTAGGGTGGGTTTGCAGGAGGGATGTGTGGGGTGTGGACACTGTAGCGCTCCAAGCTGGGGTCCGCCGCGACTGAGTGCTTCCAGCGAGGGTCCGCTGCTCCTGGGGCTGCCTCCAAGTGCCATCTGCTGAGCTCCTGCAGACGCATCCAGGACTCGGATCCCCGCCTACCCACTCTCACCCTTCCCCCTTCGTCCCCTGCGCAGCCCTGCTGGCTGACAACAGCCGGTTGAACCAGGTGCCCAAGATCCTGGATGCCTTCCAGCAGCTCGTGGCCGAGCAGCGGGGCGAGGTGCAGGCGGTGGTCACTGCCGCGCAGGTACGGCGAGGCTTGGGATGCAGGGTTGGTAGCTTGTTGGTGCGGCCCTCCTTCACTTGTAGAGCGGCATCCCATCTACTTCCCGTGCCTGTGACGGAGGTGTTAGTGTCGACACTCAGTTCCCCTCCCCCACCACCCCCTCCATCATCACAACACCCTCTCCAGGAGCTAACCGCGGCCGATGTGTCGGAGATTACCGAGTCTCTGAAGGACCTGCTGAAGCCCGGCCAGTCCCTGACCGTGAGCCAGAAGGTGGACCCCGCCATCCTGGGCGGCCTGATGGTGGACTTTGAGGACAAGCACATCGACCTGTCCATCCGCTCCCGCATTCAGTCCATCCAGAAGGCCATCGGCGAGGCCGTGGTCTGAGGCGGGTGCAGCCCCTCACTGACACTGGGCCCCCCATGTAATGTACCCCTGCCCCCACCGAGCGACACACGGCACGATGTCACACACACCCAGGCAGAGGGGGGAAACAGCTGGAAAAGGGGAGTGCCCAGGCACCGCCGCAATACACATGCAAGCCCTCGCTTTCAGAAAGGGGCCGTCGGCATCAGGCCAACAATCACTTGGCGGCCTTGAAGTTCTCCTCCGCCTGCTCCCAGTTCACGACGCTCCACCAGGCATTGATGTACTCTGGGCGCCTGTTCTGGTACTTCAGGTACTGCATGGTGGCGCCAGGAAGAGGGCGGGGGAGGGGGCGCGGTGATGACTTCCTGAAGGCAGGACCCACTGGGTGTCCGGGGGGTGAGAGGTCCGGCATCCCCCGCCCGACGAGAGTACGCATGCATCATGGGCGACCTCGGGCCGCATGGCCCGAGCACCTAGAAAGAGCTCCACCCAGCACCCAGGGGATTCCCCACGACCCGCGCCCTGCTCGCATGCCCCGTCCTCAGGCACGTCGCCTGCCCAAAAGGCAACCCCGCTCACGTAGGCGTGCTCCCAGACGTCCAGGCCCAGCACAGGGGTCCCCGCCTGGTCCACCAGTCCCGCCTGCAGGGGGTTGTCCTGGTTGGGCGTGCTGGTCACCACCAGCTTGCCCTCCGGGGTCACGACCAGCCAGGCCCAGCCTGAGCCGAAGCGGGTGGTGGCCGCGGCGTTGAACTTCTCCTTCAGCGCGTCGACGGAGCCAAAGCTGGCCTCGATGGCCTGCTTCAGCTTGCCGCCGGGGCCGGAGGTGTTGGAGGGGTTGGTCATGATCTGGAGGGGCGCGGGGGGTGCGGCACGTGACAGCATGAGCTGGCAGCGAGCCAAGAAGGGGCAGCTGGTGTTTGAAGTTGTGGAGCTCCCCACGAGAGATTCCCCATTCAGCCTCATGTCTCCCAATACTACACACACGCACACCCCCTCCGTCCATGAGCATCAGGGGAAACAGCCCAGCACGCCTCGCAGCCACAGGTCGGCCTAGTCTCCAGCAGAGTCTTCACCAGGCCAACAACCAACATGCCCGTGCCTTCCAGAAGAAGGTGTGGTTCCAGTGCCCGCCGCCGTTGTTACGCAGCGCGGTGGAGACATCGGAGGGCACCTCCCCCTTGCCAATCCTCTTGTTGAGTTCCACCAGGTCCAGGCCCTGGAGGTCGCTATACTTGGCGACGACGTTGTTGACGTTTGTCACATAGGTCTGGCATGGAGGTGAGTGGGGTCAGGGAGGTTTGGAGAGGGCAATGCTGAGTTGTGAGGAACCCCTGACTTCGTGGAATGCAGCCCGGGGCGCAGCTGGCCAGGCGCATCCGATGCCGTCGCAGCGGGGATCCAGACCGGGGTCGTGAGATCACAGGTGCCCACCTGATGATGCTTGGTGTGGTGGATGGTCATAGTCTGGGTGTCCACAAAGGGCTGCGGAAGAGGGAGGAGCGCGAAGGCGAGCTCGTGCCCGCTGGCATCCTACCAGCAAAAACCGAAACCCAACGGATGCCGGCAAGTAGTCCTGTCCGATACCGGATAACATATAAACCGGCCTCAAGCCCAAGAATCTGCCTCACCTCCAAGGCATCGTAGGCGTATGGCAGATCGGGCAGGGAGAACGACATGGCTTGTGTGACGAGAGTGAAGCGGGCACGGATGGGGCGAGGAGTGCGTGTTACGCGGATTGAATGTGGGGAAGTTTGATGTACGGTGCTTGGCACCATGCTTGTGACCTTGGTGAGCTTCATCTTCAGGAGGGTTGATGTCATGGAGTAGCTGTTCATGCGCAGCACATAGGGGACGCTTGCCCCTCTGTCAAGTGATGGTACAGAGTCTCATGCCGGGTTCGGGAGGAAGCTAAGACTTGTTCTTGTTCCTTGGCATTCTTTCAGATTCTGTCATGCCTGCTGAAATGTGTCGTGAGCGGCATCGACTGTCGATAGCCACGACAACCCCCTTCCTTTCCTCTGCTCAGATCTGGCGAGGAACCACTCAGGCGCCTGCTCCCAACCACTGCATGCATATTCGAACATCAGTCTTAAACCTTCATTTAAATGTTCAATCCCATGAATATAGAATACCAGGAGGCACTCATTGATGTGCAGTGAACCATACATTTCCTTCGCATCCCGCGCTTAGCTGCACCTCCCTCGATTACAGCTCTGTCCAACGAGGGCTCCTTTTGCTACAAAACTCAGCTTGAATATGGCAGGTCCCGAGCAGAGAGCGGACTCCCTGCGGCAGGTGAGCGTTTTGCCCGGCAGGTGAATTGTCTGCCCGGCGCGGGCAGCACCTTGGGATGTGCAACAAAGCCCTCGCCCGTGCTGCCACTCGCCACCCCTGCCAACCCCCTCCCTTCATCTCAGTCCATGGAGAAGATGGTGACGCGGCTGGACAAGGATAATCTGCGGCCTGTGCAGAAGGAGAGTTATTTGTGCATGGCCCGGTGCTGTGACACCGCGGCTGGTCCTGCAGAGCTCCAGCAGTGGTGAGGATTTTGGCTGGGGTGCTCTAATCAGGGCAGTGTAGACCTCTCTTTGGGCATGCCCTTATGATGTCGGACTCTGATACGTGTGGACCTCACACAAAGGGTTGCTCAAGAGGGTACAGGCGGCGATTCGGTGCATCCCTACCTCCTCTACTCCCCTTGCGTAGTGCCAACCGCTGCGAGCAGGGCGTGCATGTCAAGCACTCCATCATCCAGTCGGCCATGGCCGACTTCCAGAACAGGGTGCAGCGTTGTGTGCAGCGCTGCCAGGATGCAGCCCAGGAGTCCCTCCCCATAAAGCCCAGCGAGAAGGACATTGCCAGGGCACAGGTGGGGTGGGGTGAGGTCATTAGGGGGGTGGCCGTGATGAAAGGGAGGAGCAGAGGGTAGGTCACAGTGTCAATCAGATCACCTGTCTGGCAGAAAGCAGAAGCAGGGAGTTGAGAATGATGGATGCCGCACACCGCAGGACAAGCTGGCCAACTGCGCGGCGGACTGCGCCCAGGAGTACGAACGACAGATCCCAAAGCTGGAAAAGTCAATAGTAGAGCAGCTGGCACGGGCGTGATCTGTGTGTGGAGTCTGCTGCTGAAGCAGCCTGTTTCCAACGCGCAACCTCCCGCATTCATCACAGCTGGTCCTCCCGTGGACCCTTCCTGAGCACATTAGCGAGCTGTGTATACTGATGAGCCAATCACACATATCTTGGTCGGATGGACAAGTCGCCATACCGCAGGCCTTGTATAAATTCGTGAATGAGAGAATGAGGTCTGAACGCTGGATGAGCACCAGGGGCGCGACTTACGAGTGCTCAGCTCTGCACACAGCTGAGAGGTGAACTCAATGGACTATACGTAAACAACCTGTTGTTCGCGACTTAATCTCTCGAATTGTGTCGACGCCTTGCAAGCTCCCCAGTGGAGTGGCAGGGACCGGTTGCACACTGCCCGAAGTCGTCGCTTTCAACGACATACGAGACCGGCAAGCAGCACGGTCGAAGCAGGAAGGAAAGCGAAAGACGGCTGCTGTATCGAGGTATATGGTGTGCACCAAATGCGAGAAGAAGCTCGCAAAGGTAAGGGAGCAGGTGTGGGTGCCTGCACATGGGTTCGTGTGGGTCAGCCTATGCATTCTCACTCTCTAGCATGTACTCTCTCCCGACCCCCATACCCTTCTCAATGGAGCAGGTGGCCTGTCCCGATAAGTGGAAGGACGGAGCGAACAACACGGTGGAGTCTGGGGGCAGGAAGGTGAATGAAAACAAGATGCTAAGCAAGAAGCGGGGCTGGCAGCCCTACGCCGCCAAGTGCACACTGTGCAAGAACAATCTGCAGGCGGGGTACACCTACTGCCAGGGTTGCGCCTACCGGGACGGGCTCTGCGCCATGTGCGGCAAGAAGATCCTGGACACGTCCAGTTACCGGCAGTCTAACAAGTGAGAGGACGTCCACCTTGACCCTGGCTCTATCGATTGTGGCCATGGATGCTGGCACAAGTACCCTTCAGCGCTGCACACGAAGCAAAGGTGTCGTCCATGCATCGGATTAAGAGGAAAGTCATACTTGCAATGGCCTGTCCACGCCATGATGCAGGAGCAGCATGGTACCGGGGTGGACTGCCACGGATGTATTGTGGCTTGCAGCCAGGGAGGGCAGAGGTCATGGGCATGAACAGTCTGGCGCATTTGCTGTACAAGACCATGCTTTGAGTGACAGCGCCTTGCTTGAGCTCGATTTCACCACCGCAGGCTCCTGCCTGGAGTGGCTTGCACACTCAGAGGCATGAAAAATTACAGAGATGCCCGAGGGGTCATCCAGGAAGCGTGAGCCTGTGCGGTGAAGAGAGGGCTGCAACCGATCTGCCAGTCCAGAGATCCCTGCATAGAGTATCTTCCGAAGGGTCCAATCTTTTGGATGTCCTGTGCAGGATGTATGGCGGATGAGGTTTATATCCTGGCACCCCTACCATCAGAAATACAACGCCGTTTGAGGATTCATGTTCACTGGAGTGCGTATGACGTGAGTGGCGAGACTCAAGATCCATTCACCGTCCCTTCAGACTTGGAGTCCAGGACGCCTGCATGAGACGATGTGCTATCTTAAAGCAACCTGCCGATACTAACTTAAAGACAGACGGGCAAGCAACACCAGCCATGCATGCTGCCAAATGAAAGAATACGGCCGAGAAGCTCCAAGAGATCATTCCAGGTAGTATTGGTAAAGGCCTGGCAGGTCCTCTGCCCGTACGTGCTACTACCTTGTCGTCCGATTCGAGGGACAGCATTGTCTGCGCAGCGACCCAGTTCCTGCTTGAAACTGCTCACTGTACACCTGTGCTCGGAGATCTCATCACTTCCAATGGGTACAAATGATCATGCTCACTCCTGATACTCCTGAAGCCAAAATTGTGGTGAGTGCTGCAAGGAAGGATGCAACACTGCGCCTGAAGGGCCTGTTACTGATCTGGTAAAGGGGACTATGTAGACTTTGTCAGAGAACCGTTGGGGGAGAGACGGCCATCGGCACTATCTGCGTTGCAGACCACGTAGGCGATGCTCGCATATATTGTGCCCGAAATGGGGAATGTAAGTTGGGTTGAGGTGGCAGGGTTGTTGATACTCTGAAAGTAGGTATCAAGGTAATTATTGTTGTTGTAAGCGGAACAGGTCACAAAGGCTGCTTCAAAGTTGGTCGAGATCACGAAACTGAGATAAAATTCATTCCCAGTCATAGAAACAGACCAGGTTCCGGACGGACTATTCAAATCTGGCAGTGGGAGGGGAGAGGGGCTGGGCGAGGGAGATTGGCTGGGCGAGGGAGATTGGCTGGGCGAAGGGGATGGGCCTTGCAAAGGTGACGCCTCACTGGAGTCAGTGGAACAGCCGGCATCTGCGGCGGTCTTCCCTGCTTCAGAGAGTTCAGTCTGTTCCGAGGAAGCTGCTGTGCTGGAGGTGCAGCCTGCGACTGCCTGTGAGAGCACAATGTGGAATTTGGCATGTGAGTCTGCCCTCTCAGGGCGCACTTGGCCCTGCAAAGGCGGCATCTCGCACCCAAATTGTAGCTTCTTGACCCCGCTGCTACTGCAGCCACTGGCTCATACCTTTGCTCCAGTGCTGTCGGTTGTGGCAGCACCATATGTAGAGGCCTCCACGGGTCCTGCCGCCGAACTGACGGCCGTGGCAGACGCATCAGTGCTTGCAGTCTTTCCAGGACCTGTGGTCAAGCCAGAGAAGCCACTGGTGGCGTTGGCAGGAAGCGTACCGCTGCCAACAGCCTGTATGAAGATAATGTTAGAGTTGTACTCTTGAATAGATACACAATGGAGTCTTCGTTGGATTAGCGAGAGTACTTTCGCCCATGGGATCAGTTCCACCCTCGGTTGGCTGTTCATACCGTTGCAGAGCCGAGACCTGTCACTCCCGAGTCAGCCCGAGAGCTCCAGGCCTTCAGCCTGGCCTCCGCCGTTGCTCCCTCTCCAAAGGCTGACGCGGATGCCGTTCCGGACGCTCCGATACCCGAAGACGTCGCCGTACCCACACCGCCCGAGACAACGCCATCCGACGTTCCCTGGAGATTCACGGTACCTTGTAGCGTCCTGCACTCACACGGGTATGACCACTCAGCGTGGCGTCGCACTCCCGCCCACCCTTTCCCCTCCTCCTCCTCCGGCGAGGGTGCCTACAGTGTTGTAACCCGAAACCCTTGCCTAACAAACCCGCCCAGATAAAGGCAGCAATCTCACCGCTCTACAGAGTGCATTTGTAGCACATGACACCCACCTAGAGTCGGCGGGAACTGAAAACGCGAGGATAAGCATGAGCGCCGCGCATGAAGGGCGACGGCTCATGCACGCCATTGAGAAGGCTCGTATACGAGGTAGCGCTTACTTGCACAACCCTTGCAATAGTAAGGTGCCTACTGGATGAGGTTACTCAGCGCACGAAATATGTTCAATAGGCCTCGTCATCAAGGAGTCGTCCAACCTTAGCCCACAAACTCAGAGGGAGAGGGGGGTGATTGAACTAGGACGAGACGATGGTTGACGTTCGGGCATGCGGCAGATCTTGTGCAGTCCGGTAGCAGCACCGAGAACATGCAACTCGCCAGACTGCGATGTCGCCTGTAGACTGACTCGGAATATTGCTAGATTTCCCACATTACACAACACGCATGCAGATGCCACCGATCCGCGCAGACCGACGCCACGATTATGACCGCAGCAGGAAGGCGCAGTTCAGCACATGAGATTGCGTCCGTCCACAAGATATAACCTGACAATTCTCAGGTGAGAACTGCTTGATGGTGGGCAAGGATAAGTTGCCCGCCCTGACCGGCAGTAGTACTCGAGAAGTGCGAAGACTCAACCGTGCGTGCCCAAACCATGCCGTCCAAGGCCTCACATCCATGCACTTTAAGAGTTCAGGAGCTTGTAGCACCAAGCCCAGCTTCGAGAAGAGCACGAGAAAGCTTTAAATGGGTCGATGTGTGGGTAAGGTGAGCTGGGTGTGCGAAAACCGAAAGTATGTGGAAGTGTCTTTCACCGGGTACATCAACAATAGGAAAGGGGTGGAATTCCAGCAGGCCTCACGGCCACTTGGGGTTAATCTCAGGCTGGCCACATTCTAGTTTCCAAAATGAGTAGCCTACACTCCCTCAAGTGTCAAGTGCAGGGCTTGGCGGGGTGGAGACCTTTAGTCCTAGACAAATGGAGCCCACCAGGCACGATGAGGGGCCGCAAGGTTGCGTTTCAGACGCCGGCATTCACCACGGTTGGGTAACCTGTCGGAAATGAGCACCTGACGCCTTACATCATGTGCTTGTTGCTACAGATTGCACTCCTTGGTCTGGCCAGAGATGGATCAGGTATCCAAGTACTGAACACATTCTTACCAGGCTTATTCTGTGGCACCTTGATGAATCTGTGTTGGATTGGATAACTCCGTGTCCCAGGGTGAACGGGCATTAGACAGAAACCATACCACATAGGTATGCATCCAGGAACTTTCAGGGAGGCAACCTTTTCGATATTCACGGGGTCAGAATGATGGAGTTCGCCCATCGCTTCACCAAGCAATGATTTTGCCATCCATCAAGAGCACCTGCTGCTGCACCCTGCATCGTTCAGTTGAGAGATTTCTAGCTTCTAGGGTGCTCCTCTTCTCCCCTCTCTAAGGTAGATACTAAACTTGATGGCGGGAATGTCGAGCGCGAGTCCCCGCTCAGGACGGTGAGATCTTACATCTGCCATGGACCTACATATCTAGAGCAAAATGCATATTGATTGAGCAGATAAAGAATCGTAGCGTTTGGGTATGAATAAATTGTGAACGCGTGCCCACGCTTCGCTTCTCTCCATCCCTTCCCTGGCGTCCGTTGCGGGCACCTTGAAGAATGGCGATCAGCAACTTCGTTATCACAATAGGTCAGACAAATTCGAGGCATGCATTCCAATAATACTCAATTTGCTTGTGAGGAACTCACCTCCCTGTCCATCCTCATCCCACTCTTGCAGTGGGACTCGGGGCCGTGGCCTACCTCATGAAGTCAGACATCAGGGGTTCCTCGGCCATGCTTCGACGAAACCTCAAGCACATCAGGGGCTGGATGGAGGAGCAAGGAGCGGCTGCAGAGTGCGTTGTTTTGGCAGGAGGGAGGTTTGGTGAACATCGCCTCAAGGGGTGGTGGTCCTCCTTTGCTGCACTCATACAGGGAGGAGGGTAAGTGCTCTTTCTGGATCACGTCCCTTCTTGTGAAACCCCCAACCAACTTCAGGCAGACCATCAGCAAGGAAGCCAAGCAGGTCACCGAATCGAAGCCCGCGCAGCAGCCGCCCGTACGAGACCCAGCCAAGCCCGAATAGAGCCCTCATGTCCCCCTTGTCATCACCAAAACGTACACCTTCAGCGCCGGGGCCTGCACTGCGCCCCTCACTTTGGCAACACATTTCCCTGGCTGATCTTCCAAATGGGTTGAAAATTTCCGTATTGCAATCTGCCTGTGGAAAGCCCACATCAGGCTGGCGCGGGTGGGAAAACCAATCTGTGCAGTGTGTGACACAGTCGAGTCCAGTCCTACCACCGTGAGTGTGGCCGGCTCACATGAGGGGTTGATGAACGCAGAAGTAGGCTCAGTCATGTCCAGCATTTGGCAGCTTTCCGGCGGCAGCCAGAGCCTGCTTCTCCGCCTGAGAATGGACGCGTTTGGGATACTCGTCCTGGAACCAAAATCCCCAAAGCAATGCCTTTAAGATATGCTGCTCCCAGGTTTTGAAAAGGCACAACCACCAGACAGCCTGCTTCTCAACCTTCCTACCTCGCGAAACTTGGCGAGGTAGAGCTTGAGCGGCTCGATGTAGTCATCAAAGCCCAGTGTGCACATCGCCCAAAGCAAGTCGTCTCCGGTGATGGTTTTCCGCTTCTCCCGCTGACACTTGTCACTTGCTCTGCATGGGACACGAGTGAGGTGTATGTGGTGCATCACAAACTGGTGGTTTCCCGATGTGGGAATTCCAGGATCCCCAACGTAGACGCCTGAGCACCTGTGACACCAACACCATTTCCTACACAGTGCTGATTCCCCAGACAGCTACACCCCTCTGTCCTTGGTGCCCCACCCCACTGCTCCCAAATCCTTCAACGCGAGCGGGGCCAAGAAACCTCAACTACCCCGCCAACACCAACTCACTCGCTGGTGATGAAGGAAATGAACTCCGACACGCACTCCTGCACGGACTCCTTCGCATCCTTTGCAATCTTCGCATTCGCCGGAAGGAATTTTTTCATGTTTCGACTAATGTTGGCGATGGGCAGGAACCTGTCCTGCTCCCTGCAGCGTCAGGAAGGAGGGATGCGTCACCCGATCCGAATAGGGCTTGGCTTGGCACCAGCTACCCAACCACTCCTCCAGTCACTTACTTGCTCCCCATGCCCTCGTCTCCCGAGTTGTCGGCCATTTCGCAGACCTTGATCCGCTTGGCCGGGGTCTCCTGAGTTTCCACTGCTCCTGGCTTTGATACAAGTCTCTGGAAGTGCTGCGAGCCTGGCTCGTACAGGCAAGGTCGCCCACCGTCCCGAGACAGCCAGACGGCGAGTCGGCTTCCTCAAGATAATGCACCGTTTCCTGTTAAGAAGTGTCACAGCCCTGCAGATGGAGCTCTCGCGAGCGACTTACCATTTGGCATCCCGATGTCCCCATGGCCAGCACAGCAGCAGCTCAAAGCATGCAATGGCCCGGGCAACTTGGTCCATACGGTGACTCCTGCGCTGAACCGTCCATCCTCGTGCTCTCAGCGGGGTGGAAATAGCTGCTCGGGACACGCTGAGCAAGCATTTTCGGAAGGCAGCAGATTGGTGTTTAAGTCGCTCAAGCTGGCGGTGACGGTCGTGTAGCGAAATTGCACGGCTCGCCGGGACGGCGCAAGAGAAGGAAGCCTCGATTGTCCTTGTGCCCAGGCTGGAACATCCAATAACAGTAGACCTTTGTCGCGACCGGTATGGGAGTGCCGGCATTCTACCGCTGGCTGAGCACCAGGTGAGTACCAGGGCGGCTCTGACAACGATCTTTCCGCCAGGCAGTGCGTCTGGGGATGCGGTTTAGGTTGGTAAACTTGCTTTGCGGTCCTTCTGGCGGCCCTTTACACACCCCTGTCGAGCTCTTCTTCATGCCGTTGCCTCCTCCAACCACTGCCCTCTCCCTTCTGTGTCCCCAGATACCCCAAGGTGGTGAAGGATTGCGTTGAGGAGGAGGTGCAGACCATCGGAGATGTGGAGGTCCCGGTGGACACGTCGCAGCCCAACCCAAACGGCATGGAGTTTGACAACCTGTACCTCGACATGAATGGCATCATCCATCCCTGCTTCCACCCCGAGGACAAGCCTGCGCCCACCACAGAGAACGAGGTGAGTGGTCTTGGCCTGAGGTCGATCCCCGGGTGTGCAAGCCCTCACCATGACCTTCCTTCGTGTGCACAAGCCTGCTTGAGCTCGTGCATCTGGGCTTTGGTGCGTCTCAACCAGGCTCGGTGGTTCGACAGGCCTGGCGGTGTGCCCCCTTGCCTGGGCCGCAACACGGCATCGACTCCCACCCCCCAGGTGTTCCTGGCGATATTTGACTACATCGACCGCATCTTTGCCATCATCCGCCCTCGCAAGCTCCTCTACATGGCCATTGGTGCGATAGGAGGGATGCCATCCAAGGGAACCCATTGGATTGGGTGCTGGGCCCTGTGCCCTGCACCCTCTACCCGGCGGGGGCACCCCAACTCTCAAGGGATTGGGTTCAGCAGCGTCCCATCCCGGTTCCCGGCCCTGTCCGCATACCCCATTCCCCACTTTCTTTTCGCCCTGCTTCCAGACGGCGTCGCCCCCCGTGCCAAGATGAACCAGCAGCGCTCGCGGCGCTTTCGGGCCGCCCAGGACGCGGAGGAGAAGGCGCGGGAGGAGGAGAAGCTGCGCGAGGAGTTTGCCAAGCAGGTCAGGGGGGGGGCTCTCTCACAGGTGCTTGAAGTGTGCTGCGGATGGATTGCTCACAGACTCGTCGCCGCCACGCTGGTCGCCTGCGGGCGTGCCTGGCCTCCTGCTACGCAGCCCTGGGTTCTTAGGATTGTCCAGGGCGCGTGGAAAGGCATCATGTTATGGCAATTGCCCCCTACTTGCCCAGCCCCTGTGTACCCTTTCCACCCCCCGCCGCCATCTCCAAGCCCCAACTCTCTCCGCTCCGCCCTCTCAGGGCATCAACATCCCCGCCCGCGACGAGTCGTCGGTGTTCGACAGCAACACCATCACCCCCGGCACCCCCTTCATGCACCGCCTGTCGGTGGCACTGCAATACTATGTGCACCTGCGCCTGAACTCCGACCCGGGCTGGCGCGGGGTCAAAGTGCTGCTGTCGGACGCCAACGCGCCGGGGGAGGGCGAGCACAAGGTGATGACCTACATCCGGGAGCAGCGTGCCACGCCCGGCCACGACCCCACCACCCGCCACTGCATGTACGGCCTGGACGCGGACCTCATCATGCTGGCACTGGCCACCCACGAGCCGCGCTTCGTGCTGCTGCGGGAGGTGGTCTTCACCCCCGCCCCGCCCGACCACGGCCGCAGCCGCGCCTCCCCGGGGGGGGCCGCGGCGGCGGGCGGGGCGGCGCGCACGACGGCGCGCCGCCCCAGGCCCCATCGGCCCCGGTCCCCGGTCGGGAAGAGATCGAGCGGGAGGAAGCGGCGCGCAAGCCCTTCCAGTTCCTGCTGGTCTCCGCGCTGCGGGAGTACCTGGCGCTGGACCTGGGCGTCCCCACGCCCTGGCCGCTGGACCGCGAGCGCCTGTACGACGACTTCGTCTTCATGTGCTTCTTCGTGGGCAATGATTTCCTGCCCCACATGCCCACCCTGGAGATCCGGGAGGGCGCCATCGAGCTGCTGCTGGCCACCTACAAGCAGACGCTGGCGGCCACGGGGCACCTGGTGGACGGCGCGCATGTCTTCCTGGACCGGGTGGAGGCCTTCATCCAGGAGGTCGGCAAGGCGGAGGACGCCATCTTCCAGCGCCGGGCGCGCATGCTGAATCGGCAGAAGGTGCGTCGGTCGGGGAGTGGGGGGAT